GCAGGCCTCCTGGAGGAATGCAGGGGCCCCTGGGGCAGCCGTCAGGAGGAACAACACGTCCCTGCCCTGCCCTGCTGCCTTCCTGAAAACCTTTGGGAAGGCAGAGGCTGAGGTTTGGCCTCCCCACCTCTGCAGCGTCCCGTCCCACAGCTTGGGTCCCAGCTTGAGCCCAGCCTTCCCACCCACAGCAGCCCCCAGGCTCACCTCTGCAGTCACCTTGCTTCATCCCTCCCTCCTCCTCCTCCACCCTCTGATTTGCCCTACAGTGCTGTGCATCATCTTCGTAGTATAAAGCATCTGGCAGGTGCAGATAAATGGCACATTTAATGAAAACTTTTATTAGGAAGCTGCAAGGAAAGTCCATCATTTCCCCCTGCTATTCAGTCAAGAGTTCAGAGACACCGTGGCACTGCCTAGCAAGAAGCTAAGAAACACATTTGCTCCTGCAAGAACCAAGCCAGGCTCTATCCTGGAAATATTTCTGCCTTATAAATTGCTCGCTCTGTTTATACTCTAGCCCTCAAGCCTTTACTACTTTCTTGCTAAAACACACCAGAGCACGTATCTCAGGCCCTGCAGAGTGGTGTGCGTAGTCCCGCGGGAAATGACCTGCCTGGGACAGCCACGGCCTGGAGATACACAGGTACTGGGACCAGCCCTGGACATGTCCACATACAACCTGGTGGGCTGCCAGCCACTGGCTCCCCACACTCATTTGGTTGCAAATAGGCAGTGTGAGCATGCAATAGTTGCTTTTGGAGAGAGATCTGGCTATAAATTGGCACCCAGACTCCTCCTAATCATGTTTTCCCATAAACTATACAGCCGCGGGCTGTTGTCATGCTTTAAAATATGAGGGCGTTTTCTCCCAGACTGAAAAAAGATCGGAGCGGCGGGGAGGGCACGGGAGAGAAACTTGTGAACTTGTGGTGGAGAATTTCTTCACATTTTCTCCATCTCTCTGCAATGTGAGCCCAGACACCAACGTGGCAGCGAGAAACAAAGACAGAAGGTCCCCTTCCTCCTCTCCCTGGCCACTTCCCTGTTTGGCCAGGCAGGCAGAGCTGTGCCCCAGCCTGCCCACTCTGGAGGGCCGTGCTGCCCCAGTACAGGGCTGTGCCCAGCACTCCCACCGAGGTGGAGCCAAAAGCTGGGAACGCCACTCGGGGCTGCTTCTCCCCAGGTCACTGCCCCCCTCCACCCCATGGGCAGCTGAGATTGCCACGTGGAGCGGGGCTGAGTTACAAACTGTCAGCATTATTTTGCATGAATAAATGCAGTGTGTAAGCCTTGACCACAGGAACAAAAACAGATTAAATGAGCAATGTTTTGGTTTGGGGTTTTTTGTTTTTGTTTTTGTTTTTTTTCTCTTCAAGGGGTAGGGTTTAGAATAAGTTAATTCAAATTGGCACATAGATTTTGGTCCTGTGCTACAACAGAAATTGTGGACCCCTTAATTTCTTAATAGGCGTGGGCTGTAAAAGTCACAGGGACTATAAACATGTGGGACCATATCTAATCACAGCAGAAGGGTCTGCCAGTCAGTGTAGTATTACATCTCCAGTCTAGTAGAAAGTTCAAGTTAATCATCTGCTCACTTAAGAATACCCCTAGCCCAAATCTCACAGAAAGAATAAATCCGAGCAGGAAACTTCAAAGGTATTTTGCTGCCTAATGTTCACTGAAAGCATTGCGAATTCAGCTCCAAAATGCCTTTGAATCGCTTGGCGGCGATCCCCCCTGGAAGGCGCTCACCATCAAAGTGTCTGCTCATGCATGCGGAGCCTGGAAGGAGGCCAGGCCCAGAGCGAGGGGTTCCCTATCCAAAGGGCTTCAGCAGCCTTTTCCACGTAAGCATTGTTCTGCAGACAGCTGATTTGATCCTCTGGCATAGGAAGGAAATGTACTTTACAGAGCTGGTGAAGGTCAGCAGCATCCAGAGCGGCCATTTGGCAAGAAGACTGCTTCCCCCCACTCCTTCCCTCTGCAAAGGGGTGAGCTCCTGCAGGTCGGACTGTAAAAGGACTTACAGATGTTAGATAAAAAAGTAACGGCAGAAAATGTGTGCATGACCCTAAAAAAGAAAGAAAAAAAAATGCATGATCTGATGGAAGTTAGATTCTTCCTTGGTTTGTGTGTTGAAAGCTGAAAATAGAGATATCTACTCCCAAATCCTTCTGCTCCACCAAACAGTTTGTTTTTTAGAGGGATGGAAGAGCCTCATCTCAGTGTGTTGGAATAAAAAACTCCAGTAGACACAAGTCTGAGTCTGATGTACTGGATAGGAGCATGGCCTCCCCTGATTAACTTCACATCCTTTGGGGAGAAGGAGGAAAGAAGGTGCACACTGTGTAATTTCCTTTCCAAGTGTTCGTTGTCCACGTTGCATATTGCTCCAGTGAGTAAAGCAGTGCTGGGGCTCACGCTCCCATCCTTATCTACCTGATAATGTGTTTCCTTTCTGTCATTCTCCATACAAATATGAACTCAATATGTGCTTCAGTACCAACTTTGTTGTTACGTACTGTTTTAACATTGAAGCTTTCCCATTTTCATACTGAAAGCTAGGCATCTCAGATAAGCCCATCTCCAAAAGTATCCTGAAGCCAGCGATGAGGAGGAGGCATCCCATGCCTCAGTCACTTGCTGTGGTTCTGCTGGTCAGCCCAGGGTGTTGCCAAAAGCAGACTTCCGGGAACCCTTTCTGAGGATGCTTTTTAGACACTGAAACTGTTTTGGCTTTCATTGCCCCAGCTGAGCTCTGCCTCAAACGTGACAGTTTTGGTCAGGACCCACAAAAGAGGTAGTCACTCTGGCTCTTGATAACTGGTGGCCTGAGCCCACACCTGCCTAGCATGAAGCAGCTGATGGGGGCCACTGTGGCCTCTCCCAGCCACAAAATGGGAGGCAAACCCCTTCCACTCCAGCCAAAAAAGCCCTGACACAGGCAGGGGTTTGCTGTCTTTGCACCATGGACATCCAGATGGAGGCTAAACCCTTCTCCTGAACTTGTGGGGCTTGTGCAAAGTGGGGTTTAGCTTCACCCAAAGTGAAAGAGGTCTTGTGGGGATCAGCTTGAGAGAGCTGTGAGACCCCTCCTTCCCTCATCCCCACAGCAGAGGAGGGCTTGGAAAGGTCTGTTAGATGGGATTGCTTGGAAGTTGGGATGTTTCCCTGATATTGTGAAAAGCTCCAGCATTATCAATCTGTTTAAAAAGTGGCAGATCATGGTTAGTAGCAATATATGCTGGAGTGCCACTTCTCCAGATCCTGAGGACTGGGGGAGCTCTACTGCTTTGCCCTGTGCTAGGATTCCCATCTGCCTGTCTTCCCTAGAAACCATGAACTCCCTTATCTAGAGCTGTGCTATGGCTGGGCTAATTTTTGTGAGTCCAAAGTTCATCATTTATCAGCTCAAGCTCCAGCCTAAGTCTGTTGCAGCAGGGACAAGCCTCCAGTCTCTCAGTCCTGCTTGGAGCCTCTTTGGAGACACCACAGCAGTTGCAAGGTTGCCCTGAAAGAAGACAAGGCACCTTTTCCAGGGGCTCACAGTGCCATCATTTTTAAGCACATCAGGCCGAATCTCACAGGAAGAGGCAGGATATTTCAGGTCTGGCCTCAGTTGCTCAGGAGGTTTTGCTGGTTGTTTTTTTTTTACTTCTGACATGTTTTGATCACAGCCCAATTCATTATTATTAAAGGCAGAGAATTTCCACATTCCTTACCATTTGGCCCTCCCTCCTGGAGCCTGGGGGAGAATTACAATAACAAGTTATGGGAATGCCAGACACGTGCCTGGGCCCGCAGGATCGACTGCGCCAGTAAGTTTAGTGAGAGGTACCACAGCTCCCTACCAACCAGCCTCTCCCAGGAACCCAGCAGAGTTCCCACTGCTGCCCTCCAACCTCTGGACAGCCCCAGGCTGTGTTTTGCCATGAAAATTTTGCAACTGGCCCAGGCTGACAGAGGAGGGAGGCTGGGATGTAAAGTGTAGATTCACATGGGTGAATATTTAGTCATAGGCATGAAGTGTCCTGATCACATTGGGGCACCCCAAATGCAGTTTTACACACAGCTCCTATGCCCTTTAAGCGTTTGGGAACAGCATGATTTGCCCAGTCCCTATGTATCACACATATGCTACCAAATTCCAAAGCAACAATAATTTTAACACATCATGATCCATCTTTCCTGATCTAAATATCTCTGGAGGTGGTCTTGCTGCAGTTACATGTATGATGCTAGATAATGGGGTGGGGGTTCCTGAAGGTGTCCAGAAGGCTGGGATGCTGATGTTATCTTGGGCATCCAGAGGTATCCTTTATTCTTCAGGCAAGGGATCATCTTCCTGTGATGATCCAGGGCCCTTTAGTCATGTTAACTTAACGCTTAAGTCATGTTTACTTAAGCGTGACTATCCAGCATAGAATGTCTATCTACACCAAGAAAATTCATACCATTTCCTACCATACAGACCAATTGCCCCAATAGTTATGGAATGAGAGTTTCCTCGCAGTTTTTCATGGGGGACTAGGGCTCTTGGTTTTTTTTTTTTTCATTCTCGACGGGTGTCTGTGATTTTTCACAAGGCATCTTCAGGAGGATTTCCAGGCTGCATGGTGAAAAAGAGGAATATTATCCAGCGGGGAGACGAGGCAAACCCACCTTCCTTGCATCACGCGGGTGACTTTAACCAGCGTGCTGGTTAACCCCCTTCCCATCTCCGCTGCCTGACCCGAGCCCTTCCCGAGCCCGTTCGGACACCGCGGGACGCCTCCGGAACCACACGCGACCCTTTCGAAAGGACCGCGCGCGCCCCCGCCACGGCGCGGGGACGAGCAGCGCGCGCTGCCCGGGGTGGGCGTGGCTTGGGGCGCGGTCAGCGGGGACGGTCGGGGCGTCGGTGGCCACGCCCCCTTCCCGCGCCCGCAGCCACGCCCCCGACGGGGACGGGCGCGGCGGGAGCGCGGCGGGACGGAGCGGCTGCCGCTGCAGGCGTTGCCTTGATCCCGGCGGGAAGGAGGAGAGGAGGAGGAGCAGGAACAAGGAGAGGAAGAAGAAGAAGAAGAAAGCGGGGATCGTCCCGCTAAGCCGGGCAGGATGGACAAGTACGACGATCTGGGTCTGGAAGCCAGCAAGTTCATCGAGGACCTCAACATGTACGAGGCCTCCAAGGACGGTCTCTTTCGGGTGGACAAAGCTGCCGGCAACAACCCCGAGTTCGAGGAGACCAGGCGGGTGTTCGCCACCAAGATGGCCAAGATCCACCTCCAGCAGCAGCAGCAGCAGCAGCAGCAGGAGGAGATGCTGATGGCCGCGATGAACGGAGGGGCTGCCGCCTTCCACCCGCCCCGTCCCAGCCCGCCGGTGGCGCGGGGTTCGAAGCCGCCCCCCGCCGCCGAGGGGCCGCGGGCGAGGCCCTGCGAGGGAGCGGAGCGCGGCTTCGGGGAGAGCGGCGCACGTGCCGAGGCCCCGGGGAGCCAGGCCGGGCGCCGGGGCTGGGAAGCGGAACCCGACAGGATCCCCCGAGCGGGGGCCTCACAGCCCGGCGTGGGGCGCGGGGAGCAGCAGGCCGGGAGCCCCGGCGACCCCCAGCCCTGCCGCGGCGGGCAGGAGAACGGCGGCGAGGGCAGGCGAACTGTCGGGGGCCGTGAGCCGATGCCAGCCGGACAGAGGTCCTCCTCCTTCACAAACGCCGGGACCCCCTCGGCACCCTCGGTGGGGCCAGAGGAGCCCCCGCCACAGCAGAGGTCCTCATCCTTCTCGGCACCCTCAGCGCAGCCCGCTCGGGGGTTTTCAGGCTCCGCTGAGCCCTGCGGTCCCAAAGGCAGAGGAGACGGCGGCCAGCCGTGGTACCAGGGTGTCTCGCTCTCCTTCCCGCCAGGCTCCGCACCTGCTGCTCCCAGTGTGGAATACCAGCACGCCGCTGCCTACCCCGGCCCAGGCGGTCACTTCGTGGCCCACGGTCAGAACCACAGGCCTGGCAGCGGGAACCCTGAGCCCGGCTCCTCACGCCTGGCTTCCCGAGGGATGGTGGCTCCCAATGCCCAGCAGATGCTTTTCCCGGAGGGCGTGAGCGGGCCACGGTCAGACTCTGGGCACCTGGATGGCTCCAGCACAGCAAAGGTGAAGCTGCCCTGCCAGACCCTCCTTCCGCAGCCTGAGCAAGGGCCGTCGGCGGCTGAGCTGAAGCTGGAGGCGCTGACCCAGCGCCTGGAGCAGGAGATGGATGCTCGGCCAAAGGCCGATTACTTCGGTAAGAGGCAGTCAGTCCCCTGTCGGCACGAGGAGGGCTCCCTGGAGAGTGTCACGGCAGGGTTCAGACCTGCAGGATTGCATTGGCCTGTACACCTGTACATCTGCTTGGTTGTGCTCCGTCAGCTCCCCAGAGCAGAGACTTTTTACTTAACTTTTATTTATCACAGGGATGAGAAGCTCTTCCTCCTGTGACACCTTTTTCTTTAATCCTACGTCTCTAATTTTAAAGCAAAGGTAGTTTAGCAGCTTTGCCGGGGGACAGTTCTGGGAAGAAGCTGGAACAGCACATTTTGAAGTGCCCTTCATTGCCAGCAGGCAGGCACTTAACTTTTCTTGCCAGTGCTCCTGGTTCTGTGTGTCTTACAAGGATGGGTCCCGACCACGTGTAGGTGGGAAGGCAGCCATCCAGCCTGCATAGGCTGCCATCATGGAGAAGAACACGGAGTTGAGGAAGAGAGAAGGAGCTTGGAGATGGGGAGGGCGGTGGTTTCCCAAAGTTGCCAGGATTTCCCTCTGCCCCCAGGTGCTGGTTCCTATCAGCAGTGAAATGATTGGTGCATCTCGAAGATGGCAGAAGAACAAGCAGTAGGCACGTTCTTCCCTAAATCTGGGGTCTGTGACGAGTCCAGACCACCACCAGAAGTTATCACTGGCATTAGCAGTGGAAAGGAACCACTTACATGCCAGGACTCCCAATGAGAATATTGAATGTCCTCCTGGATTAAATTGATTTGCTACCCCAGGATGGCGGGAGGTCAGGGTCAAATTGCGTGTTTCCGTTCCCTGCTGTGCCACTTCACAATTTAACAACCGATAAGATAGCTCAGCTTTTGGGAGAGGGAAACCCAGAGTGAGTTGCTGGGAAGGCTGGAAACTCCATGGTTAACTTAAGAAACGATGGGAGCAGGCCAGGTGTATGGATTTTCCTCATGGTTTTAGACCTGCAGTCGCAGAAATAGAACAGGGACAGATTAAACTGTTCAGCCTGGTGCTGAGGAAGGGTTCTGTGCATCTCAGCCTGCACAGGGTCCCGTCTGCTGGGGTCGGTGGGTGGCTCCGTGGTGGTCTGAGCCACCCCAGAGCTTCACACCGAGCTTTGGGGGTGTAGCTGGGGGGACCACCGAGCGCTGAGCTGCACATTGCATAACTAAATGTGTTCCTTGGCAGCAGGCAGGGGGACTTGCCCGCAGAGGGCTGTGCCGGGCTTGTTTATCTTGGTATCCGAGACTGGATTAAGCCCTGTGGCAGGGCAGGGGCATTTTTTATCCTGTCGCAGAAAAGTGATGCGTTCAGCTGCTCTGCTCACAGTGTTTGGCCTGGAAAGAAGTTTTGGCGCTTTCCGTCCCCTGCAGGAAGCGCGCGGTTTGAATGAGCATAGGGAGCCTCGCTGCGGGGGCTGAATGCCGTGATAAGGAGCTGATAACGGGGATGGGGTCGGGACAGCAGGATCCTGGGGAGTGGTGCTCGAAAATGGGAGTGTTTTTCTGGAGATGACATTCAGCTCCACTGGGGAGGTGTCAGGGGTCTCTCCAGCAGACCCTGCTGTGTCTGCTCCTCGCGGTGTGTGTAAACAGCTGGATCATACCTCATCCACAGCGTGCCTGGGGATGGCTCAGGAGGCAGAGGAACCCAGTTAATGGCCAGATTAATTTTACACTTTTGTCACAAAATAAGGATGCGAGGCAGGAGGAGGCTTCTGTCCCATGGGAGATTTATAGTGAAGCAGGAGTATTTTCGGCAGCATGGAGAGCCCGGCTGGTCAGGTGGCTGAGTGAGCCCCAGGGAGGGAGGAGACACCGAGGCTGCCTGATCCCTAGTGAGGTGTTCTGACATCCTCCTGCCACGAGGTTTTGCACCAGGATGTGATGTCTGAGAAATTTGGGAAGGAGGAGAGTGAGAAGAAAAAAAAAAGAAATTATGCAGTCTTGGCAGAGGGAAAAGTAAAGTTTTGTGGAGCCTCAGTTCAGCAGACAAAGGTTCAGCAGATCTGCCCTGCTGAAGACCATGGAACAGGAAGGAACAAGTATCGAGGTATTTTAATTCTGGGCCTTCTCCCCCTCTCTTTCTCACTTTTATTTTCATTTTTTGCACAGTTACCTTACTTCCTTTGAAGGAACAAAGGACACAGCTGGCCTTCTCAGCCATTTTCTGCTATGCCCTACTCTCAAGCTACCAAACTTTAGGATGTAAAATAAACACTTTTATGCAATAGTGATTAAAAGGATCAATAGTTTGTTTTGTTGTAGACTTATTCCCCAGTGAAGGGAAGTCTGTTGCAGCACTTTTGAAGTTCATCAGAGCCAGGAAATGAAACCAAGACTAAAGTACAAATGACCCAAGTATTTTATAGAAAATATTTTCAGTTCTCCTAATTTTGTGTGCTACTTTTGTAACAAGGGAATGTTTTTGAAGATGGGCCTGTCTGTCAAGTTAACATACTGTCCTTCAGTCTGTCTCAGTCAGGACCAGATGTTTATAGAGAACAATTAAATCTGATCACAGTAAAGGAGCTGCTTTCTCCTTCACTGTGTGAAAATGTGTGCTTGTAAAAGGCTAGAACAGGATAAGCCAGGGACTAGGTAAAATACAGGTAGGATGCTGTGCTGAGGAGCAGCAGTCTGGTTATCTCTCAGCACCAGCTTGCTGTGCAAAATGCTTTTGTCTGCTCAGAGTAGGTATAATGAGTGAAAGGGAAGAAATACACAAAGCCAAGAATTCGCTCTGGTTTTTTTTTCCTTTTGTTTTTTTATAAGTGGTGACCTATGTGTGAGCTGCATGGGCTGTGCATGTCTCTGGAGGAATTTCAGTTCTCCAAGAGGGCTTTTGAAGTGCTGATTTGATTTATGTGGGCTGTCAAGGAGGATGTAGGGAGTCTCAGGTATCACCCAGGTCTTTTGCTTGGGGAAGGAAAAGCTGAAGTTGCTCAGAGAGCAACTGGTTGCCTTCTAGAGAAACTGGTTCCCGTGAGAGAGACTGGTTCCCATGCAGGCAGAGAAGGGCCCCCATGTCCCTGGGAGGTGTCACTGGAAGCCAGCTTAGGATGTGTTTAGGTTTTGGTGTATTATTTCCAGAGAACATTCGGGAGTGAGGTGCCCAAATCCCACTGATTTCCCATGGAGTTGCTTTGGGTGCATCAGCCTTCACCTCCTCTTGGTGACAGTAGATTAAATAGGAGCAATCAGGGGAGCTGCAAATCCTTTGGTAGCACCACCCAAATGTTTAGGGTTAGGTGAAGTGACACCATCCCAAAGACTGAAGGTGCCTGATGAGTTTTCAGGTGAGACAGATGCACAACCAAACCAAGCATCTGCCTGCACTCCCTGGGAGTGACTGAAGTGTGCTGGGGTCTGCAGGGAGGTTTGACTGCTTGTCTTAGCATGCAGTGCCTTGCTCTGCAGGCACAGATGGATGCTTCTAGAGGTGTAACATGTAGCATCACGTTTTTAACAGTGCTTTTTTCATACAGCTAGATGGAAATCTCCACCTGATGAGGATTATCTACACCCTTACCAAGAGTTTTTTATAAAACAATTTTTATGAATGGTTTTTGTGTTACAAATACTTGTTAGCTGTTGTATTCTGGCTTCCTTGTTATTTACAGCAGAGCTGATAAGCTGTGGGTGATTTAGGAGGGCCCTGGGCATCTTGTTTTGCAGTGAAAAGCTGGGATGCTTCCCAGCAGTCAGGCAGAGAATATCTCCTAGCACAGTCTGTAGATTTTTTCCCCTTGGCATAAGCAGAGCAGTAGCTGAGTCGCTGAGCCCTGTGGAGAGCTGGGAGCCCAGCACCTCTGAATGGGTGTGAGCAGCTCAAAGGCCAGCAGTGCTCTTTGGAAGTGTGGTGCACAGTGAAGTTGGTGTTTCACCACTGCTGGAACCACAATTCGTTTAACTTTGGGGCTGTACACACCCAGGGATTTTACTGAACCCTGCTGATGGTGGGGCACCAGGACACTTTGTGTGCAGCAAAGGTAATCTCAGGGCTGACAAGTGGAGAATTTCTGACTAAAATTAAAGTTCCTCTGAGTCTGTTTTGTCTGTGGGTGATGATGACAATGCCATTTCCACCAGGAATGAGCAGAGGCATCCTTTACTACCTTCTCCTGGGGGAATACCAAAGCTGAAAGGAGACACCTGCCTGCAGCAGAGAGGAGGGGAGGAAGGGAGAGACAGGTCCTGGTGGAAGAAGGAAAGCCAGAAGGATCACAACACTTGGAGTAGTGGGTGTGTACAGATTGCAAAGCTTATCTCACTACCAGAAACCAAGCAAATAAGTATTGGCTTGGAATATGGCTCTTCAAGATTACAGCAGTATGTGCTTCTCCTCCCTTCCTCTTGGGAGCTCAGCTGGGTTTGCAAGCTAAGGAAAAATCTACCAAAAGGAAAGAAAAAGCAAAGAGTTGTGGCAGAGGAGCAATCAGTGTTTCAGCCAGAATACAGTAAGAGTGGGACTGAAAGAAATAAGGAGCCTCATTCATGTGGCATGGGAGTTATCATAATCTCTGATGGCACTGTAAGGTACTTAAAATGTCACTGACGTGAGTCTGATGGCATTTTCATCCTTCACTGGCAGTGTGTACATGAAGGTCTGCAGCAAGGTCAGGGGTCAAGAATGTGGCATGAAAAAGGGAACAAAAAACTTGTGTTTACCAACTCTGTGGTTCTCTGGGCAGGGAGCACCTGTCCATCTTTGTGCAGACAACCCAGTCACCCCGTGATGAATAGAACCAATCTGCCAGGTTTTCCAGGCACTCCATCTCACCCAGGCCTCTAAATCTCCTTGAAATCACCTCTCAGCAAGAGTTACTGCTCAGTAGTGGATGAGCAGCATAGCAAGGCATGCAATGTGTGTAATTTAGAGTTTGATGCAGGAATTACTTGGTTAAAGGAGAGCCATAGGAAGGTGGGTGGGTTCAAGTTCCAGAGAAATTCTGAAGTAAAACCAGGAGAACTGAGCATCACACCGTGTACAACAGGGTGAAGGCTTTTCTCAGCAGACAGTCTTTGAAACACGTGTGTGCAAGTGGAGGGCTTGCTTCTCCTGGGATAAATAGGTGGATTGGAGACACAGCAGCTGCACCTGCACAGGGTCCTCCCTGTCAGAGTGTGTCAAGCAGAATTCTGATGGGGAGGACCCTTGTGAAGGTACAACTTCTGCCACGAGGCATCAGGATCTACTGGGTGCATGTGTAGACATGCATGTGTAGATGGGAATGATGTTACCAGAGGGGATAGTGGTTCTTCTAAGTTCAGCTGGGGGTTCTTCAGCATAAATCCAACCTCCTGTAAGGAGGGGGCAAAGCCCCAGTTACATCTGATGGAGAAGAGTCAATCTAATGGTGGAAATGTGGCTTGCACAGAGTATGTGGAAGGAGTAGGACAGACTTGCTGTTTCTGGATTAGCCAGATAAGCAGACTCACACCACTGGAATCATCCTGCCCCTGCATTCCTCTTACCTGGGACCAAATTGGCATGAAAGAAATCTCACCACTGAAGCACTGTCACATGTGGCCATTCAAAGTGACAGTATTAGTACGCCCAGCCAGGAGCACTTGTAGGAAAGTTTGGCTGTGCTGTGTGTTGCTGAGAAGGGAGATGAAGGTAGAGGTGAAGGCTGCTGAAAAGAAGTGGGATGCTGTTGGAAGAACTGTGGTCTTGGTCTGTAGATTGGTGTTGTCTGAAATGTGGAAATAAGTCTTAGTCCCAGAAAACGCTGCTGTTCAGCAAGCCTTGTGTTGAATTTTTAGTGAGTGGGATGCAGTAAGTAACTAAACTCCTTCTGGTGAGTGTGAAATAGCAACACTTGGAGGAAAAAATGTCTCCAGGGGCTTTGAGTCAGGTGGTAAATGGAAATGCACTTGTTGAATTTTGAGGGTGGGACTGACATTTGAGCACGGGTTCGCTTCCATTTCTCACAGCCCTTGAGGTCTGTGTCCAGCCTCTTGGATCATGTGAGCTGAGGCTGTTCCTGGTGAGAGCCCTCCTGGTCTGCAGTGCTGAGATGGAGTGTGGCAAGTGCTGGGAAGTGGCTTCCAGGGCATGTTTTTGGTCCCAGCTCTGCTCCAAAGGTCCCTTTGTTCAGACTCAGCTGCAGCGCGGGCGGTTGCTTGCTGCGTGATGCGAAGGGGAACAGAGATTTCTTTGTTGTCCAGGGCCGGCTGCCCTGCCGGCAGAAATTGAACTGAAATCAGCAATTTCCATCCCTTTTCCTTCCCAAATCTGGCTGCCATTCTGCCTGTCCGCTCAGGCATGAATTTAGTGGTGCTGTGCATGTGTGGTTTGTCATCCTGGTGGTAAAAGAGAAACCTGTCATTTCTTCTTAGTAACGTTGTCTAAGGTTAAAAATCATAATTTCAGAGGGGATGTCTGCTGGGATTGGTACTTGGATAAACACTGTTAGGAGCTGCAAAGTTACTGAGCGCGGGAATCAGGGATCTTGCTGAACTGTGGCTACTTAGGATCCCTCTGCTTCACGCTGAGGACAGAAGTTTTTGCTAAAAGCCACTCCATGCCAAGAAAATGACCCAGAACTGCTGACTAGTGTCAGTGGCATGTGGGGCTGGAGGGATGCTGCTGGCACTTTAACAGCAGCAGCAAGCACAGTCAGCAGTGTTTCGGGAAATCGCCGTCGGAGCTGGCGTGGGGCAGGGCGTGGAGCCCCTTCTGCAGCAGGATGCGCTTGGAGCTGGCCCCGGCTGTGCTGGCTTTGCACACGGGCTGCTGAGCAGATTTTTCCTTGCTTTTCCCTTGCTTAGCCTAAGCCAAAGGATCAGGATCATTGTGACAGCAGGGAGTGAATGGGGAAAAAAATGGAAAGGAAAAATAAATAAAAATAACTTTTCCCCCCGCTGCCTTTCAGGCCAGGTGTGCTGAGTGTCAGAGATTAAGGCTCAAGTATGTTGGTTAAAATACTTCAGAATATTATATCTGGAAAGAGCAAAGACTTATTTAGAGAGTAATTTCACTTGCTAGTGAGATTGAATAGGCTTTCAAGTAAGATTTAGCAGATACATGTAAGAACATAAACTAGATTCAGATGTGCCATAATGCCATTTTTCAATTGTCAACCTTGGCACAGGATATGTATGAATATTTATAGCATGTCTGGTTATGACATAGTTGGGTAATTTAGCACATTACAGTTTTTACAAAAAACATTGTCAATGTATTTTAAAAGCCCTTTCAGTCCGTGACTTTATTTTCCATTTTTTAGGGGCCTAAATATCGAAAGAAGTGGGTGAGAGGGTTAATCAGGGGGTGAAATGGAGCATGGACTGAAAGGAATGTGGAAGAGTGGTTGGGAAGGTTGAGGGGTGGGAGGTGGAGGAAGGTTTTGGTACAGATGTGAGAGCCTTGACAGCTCCTGCAGATCTGTCCTGTTGGGAAGCCAGAGGGGCAGTGCCTGTGCTCTGAAGCGTGATGGGATAGACAGGAGATGGCAGAGGCACTTTCTGCCCTCCATGGGGTTTGCCTTAGCCTACTTAATAATGGCTTATGCCTGCCAGCATCTTTACTGGGCATTGTGCCTGCTCTCAGCTGCTGTGCCTTCTGCCTCCTGCTTCTTCTTGCTGCTCATCCACAGTCAGTGTCACCCGGCTGCCTTGTGGAGAGGAGGAAATCGGAGCATGCTGGTGAGATTTTCTGGAGCAGCCACTCATTGGCATGGAGGAGGGGAAAATGCAGCACTTGCAGTGCAATAAATACGTTGGCTCTGTGGAAAGCCTGGTGGGTGTCGTGGAAAATTGGCAGGTTTTCTGCTCTCTAAACTCTCTGCTCTGGCATTGCTGTACTCAAGAGGGAATTTTGAGTCGTTAGCTCTTGTGTCAGATCATTGCACAGAAATTCAGGCTGCCCCTGAGTGTGTGCATTCCTGGGACAGCACATCCATTTGAAAAGCCAATTTTTTCTTATCTTTGCCTTGACTTTTTTTTTTATCCTTTTTCTAATGCCAGTACGATTTATCTTTCTTAACATATTTCTTTCAATAAATGAGATAAACCTGCTCAGTTCAAAAAGACCCAGAAAGTTTTGTTCATTTGATGCCAGCCTGAGTGCTGGGGTGGGCCCACAGCCAAGTGAGCATTTCATTGGTTTAGGATTTGGACAAAACAAAGTAACTAATTATTCTTTGCAGCCCTCTCTGCAGGTTTGTGTCGGTGTGGACTCTGGCTCTGGGTGCAGTGGGGCTTGGCACAGCACTAGGACGGCTTTCAGCGTGCTGTTTGGATGCACAGAGAGCCAGGCCTGCTCTGCAAAAACCTGGGGAAACCAAGTGTCTGCTTTTCAGCAGCCATGTGTGTGCTACTGCAAAGGACTCCCGAGTGGTGTTATCCCTGTGGTGTGGAAACTGACCGCCAGGGCTACTGGCTGCAGGAAGAAATTGTTACTCACCCTGGCAGTGCAAGCCTGGTGCTGCCAGAACTGAGTTACTTTTCAGTGCTGTTGTAAGCACAATGAACTTCTTCCTAACTTTCTCCAGACTTTTTCAATTACTCTGGAGCTTGCAGTGCCCCAGAAGAAGTGAAACCTTTTTTATCATCCTTAGCATAACTAAGGATCTCCGGCAGGATGATGCTGTTCCTCCTCCTGGGCGTGTAGGAGTGAGGTGTGACTCACAGTCCCTTGACCAGGGATTTTAAGAGCCAGGACTAATAGGTCTGGGTAGTGATGCAAGGTGAAGTCACATCAGAGTCACTACAGACCAGAGACAGGAACACATAATGTGTTTTTCCTTCACACTGCCCCTTACTCATTTATTTGCTTAATCAGAGATTCAAGTTTCTCAGTTAGAAGTAGCTGAAGGGTGGTGCTGCTTCAAAAACAGCCTGTCACAATTGCAGGGCAATGCCTGAAGTGAGTGAAATGGCTTGATGTCCCATTTCCTTGTTAAGAGAGGTAGATGTCAGCTAGTCTGGCTCTGTTTTGTTGGGGAACCATTAGGCACAACTGGGGTCTGAAATGGATGATTTAAAGGAGGTAAGTAAAGAGCTGTGTTTTCCTCACATCAGTTGTGACCAACAAGCTTATCTTAGACAATAATTGCCAGAAACTATTGTCTATGAGGAGCTCTGAGCCCCGCTTACTGATACTCACTGCTTTTATTACTCTGAGCACCCTTACTGATACTCACTGCTTTCGTGAGGGTCCTTAAGCAGGTTTAGATGTATATAAAGGTTGTCAGGAAGGATGGGAAAAGGAAGGAAGGAAGGACAGAACTGTTCTTGTGCAGTTTATTTTTTTGCAAAACTGTTTCTCTGTGGAGGTTTGATGACTGTCATGACCACTGTTAACAGCACCTCTAAGGGCAGGTGACGGTGCTGTCACCTACCTGTTGTGGCTTCAGTGAACCACATGGTCCGAAGCTGTTCAGCCACCATGAGGAGCTAAATGTGCTGTCACCCAACCAGTGTCCCCAGGCACCCTGTTGGGTCCCACTTGTGACCTCTCTTCTCTCCCCCAGGTACCTGTGTGAAGTGCAGCAAGGGCGTGTATGGAGCAAACCAAGCCTGCCAAGCCATGGGCAACCTCTACCACGACAGCTGCTTCACCTGTGGAGCTTGCAGTGAGTATCCCTGGCCTGGTCTGATCCCTCAGTATCCCTGGGGCCAGGCCCTGCAGCAAACTCTTCAGGCTTAACATTTTCTGGTGTAAAGGGGGGAGAAAAGAAAGCAGTTATTAAACTACCTCCCAGCTGGAGTCTGCTGCAGTTCTGTGACTTGGTGGTGGTGGTGCTTGCTGTTTGTTTTTGAATGGATTGTTGCAAGGCATGTAGAAATGGTATTTTGGATTGTGCCAGGCTTCTGCCTTCTGGTATGGGGGATGGTTGTTTTCATTCCTCTGCCTCTCTGTTATAGCCACATTTTCTTACAAGAGTATTTTTTCAAAGTGGCAGTGAAAATGCCTTAGCTGGCATGTTTTTTGTCTCAGCAGGCTTTACTTTTCAGATGGAGCTGCTGCAGGGTAAATACAGTGGCAGCGTTTTCGCTGCGTGCATTATCTTTTATTTGCTAAAATCATTTTGTACCTGTGAAATACCTCCAGTTAAAGCATGTAAGTGCATGAATGTCCCAGCTTACACATCTTGCTTGCTCTTTCTCCAGGGAGATGCAGCCATGCCCTGAGACAAGGGGCATGTCTCTGCCAGCTTGGTTTATGGTTTTTGCAGGGAGGGAACTGGTTACTGTGCAAAGGTATCAGGCTGGGAGCATTGATGATGAGCCCTGTGAAATCTACCCAAGAAGCAGAGTTAATGGTTCAGCTGGCCCTGCTGAGCTCCCTGTGAGTCACTTTGTCAGACCCACATCTGGAGTTTGCTGGGCTGTACAGCAATGTATGGATCCTCCTGAGCAGCTTTTCCAGGAGGAAAAATCCTCCTTGGATTTTCCAGGAGGTCTGTGATGGAGCTGGAATGAAGAACTGGCCGCTTGATTTTAAACTGTGGCTGTGTTTGTAAGACAGTAGTTTTTCTGTTTTGTTGTGTTTAACTCCAGTGGTAGTAGTGTATTTTTAGAAGTGTAGCTGTATATGTGGTGGCAGAAAAAATAATAATCTTCTGCTGCTTTTGTATATATGAGTTTGGTTTTCCCAGATGAGACTGAGGGTTTTTCCTCCTGAGTTGTATTTAGTTATAAACTCATCAGGACTGCATGTGTTTTATTTGGAGCTGTAAAGTTGGAATAAATATAGAAAGATGTGTATGCTTTTTAATAATAGCTGAGCCCTGAACTATGCCCATTTCCCAGCTGTCCTACACCAGCTGTCCTGCCTCACCTATGTTTTCAGTAGAGTATTTCACCATCATCTGACTGAAAATAGGAAAACTGAAAAGAGAAAGTGGTTTTTGCATGTAGTGGCAGTTTCCTAGAGGCTCAGAAGTCAGCTGCTCACTCTTCTGTCCTTTCTTAGACATTAATTTGAAATAAATTTGTGTTCTCCCATGGAGAGGTTTCCTGGCTGCAGCCAAGGCTTTGCTTCAGTTACCTCTCACCCTCTAGGGCGAGGCAGTCTCTGAACTGCCCTTGCACCCAAAGCTCCTGTTAAAAATAATCCAGCAGCAGGTTTGAGCTGTCTTAAATTTCTAAAATTACTACCATACAACTGGTGCTTTAGAAAGAAACACTTTTGATCCTCCTTTTAAAATGAATTTTACAATCTTTATTTGGAGACGAGTGCTGGAAAAGTAGTTGTGGTTGCAGAGGTATCCGTGGTTACATTAGTTTGTTTGTCTGTGTTTGGTTAAAAATTAACTTAATCCCATTTCTAATGAGGTGGGTTGGTGAGGGTTGAAAGAATAGCTATTTGCTGCTTATTTTAAAAGTCAACCCTTTCCAAACGTTTCCAGTGCAAGATGAAAAGGGGGGGGATGTCAGGTGAGACTTAGAAAGATGGAAAGAAGCCAAGTTTAGCAAAGTGAAGCCCATTTTCTCTCTTACCCAGGCTGTAACTGAGAAATGTGCTGAGTAGATGTGCTGGGGCAAAGGGTTTCAAACTGAAAGTAAAATTAAAAAACAAGGCTGGTGAAAATTATGGGGAGGTGGGGAAAGAAAGGGGTGTGGGAGCAGTAATGATATTTCCCTCAGTAGAAAAGACTGTATGTCAAAACAAGATAGAAAAAGGGAATGCAAGTCATGGGCATATAAGTGAGAGCCTAATTCAGCTTGTTATATTTAGGAGAGTGGTCATGAAAGATGAAGTCCTTCCCATTGTGGCAGTGGCCATACTAAAATGGAAACTGGAGGCAGTGGCAGCTGGCAGGATGGCATGGATGGATGGAGGGGAAGGTGTGTGGTGGCATGGCATTCCCAGCACTCCAGAAAGAGTGGTGCCAGAGGAAGGCCCCCACAGTAGTGGGTGTTTCCCTCATGTGCACAGACCTCTACAAGCAGCAAGGTTTGCAAGAAGCCCTTCAGTGCAGGGGGTGGTTTCCTGCACTGCCCCTGCTCACTTGCTCTGGGGCTTTGGGTCCTTACCTGCTCTGGGCTGACTTTCTGCTTCATCAAACCTCTGCACTGTGGCTGCCTGGGGAGGTACAGGACATCCTGCCCTGCACTCAGGGAGGAAACCCACTCGAGAGGAATCCCACCTTTTGTAGCCCTAAGTAATCTCCCAGCCCCACAGAACATCAGTTGCTGTGGGGACAAAGGGCACACACTCTGTTGTTCATTCAGAGAGGACACGTGCCCCTCTGCAGCCTTTCTGTCACCTGTGTCACTGCAGGAAGTGTGATGAGGCCATTTTTGTCTGCCAGAAAAATAAATACTTATTTGGTGCTGCCTTTCTAGCTGCCAAGCACATCTTGAGCAGCCTGTGTGGAAACTCTGGTTTCTAGTTGAAAAGTAAGTAGTGCTTTTAAGGTCAAGTGGAGTTCATCTTGGACACCATCCAGTACAAACTTGACTTTGAGAAGTCAAGGTTGCCCCTCATTTCAGTCCTAAAATTTCTTCTCTGGTGGAACGCTGAATATCCTCCACTCCAATAAATAAAATATACAAAATTACCTATTAAGGTAAAGCATATTGTCCTCCAGATATTTATAACCACTGTCTTGCTGTTCTCATTTGAGCAAGGATTTCTAATTTTGCTCCTAGCTGGATTTGTGTCCAAATGTGCATTGGTTTTCCCAACACAGAAAATCAAGAGGGTCTAAGAAGCAAGGGGTTAGGCGGGGGTGGGGGGGTGATACCCCATATAGTGCCAAATTTCCTTCACCCTCAGCTTCCCAATGCACATATGTTCAGAGATTAATGATAGAGCAGTTTGTTGAACAGGGCTGTGCACACACTACAGGGTTCAGTTGGCAGGAAAAAATGTACTGTCTTATCTGAGCCAGTGGCATGTAATGCAGAAAATTTGGCTTAGAGGTCAAAACAACAGATTTAGAATTATTGCTTTGGCATAAATGTCTCGTTTATCTTCTTGTTTGTTACAGGGCAGAGGCACAAACAAGGCAGTCTGTTGCAGAGAGGGAGAGGAAAAAAGCTTCAGGTTCTTTCTGCAGGATTAGTAAAAAATGAAATTTGCTTTACAGGAGGGCTATGAAAGTAGGTTAAAAAAAAAAAAGGCCTCCAAACGCCTTGAGCTGTTTCCTGCAGTCTCAAGGTGTCTGTTTCCGCCTTGGGGTTTGGGGTTTTTTTTACAGCTTGTTGGACACAAGGTTGCAGCTATCAAATGGTTTGTTACACATTAACCATTTAAATTAAATCAGTAATTGATTCCTTCTCAGAGGTATAAAAAAGTATGTGTCTCCAGATGTTGATATTTACAATTTAGGCAATAAAGAGACCTTACAAATTATATACTTTTAGCTAGACTGTATCACTCTAACCTTCTGTGTTAAGTTTTAGTGTTTTCTCTTGGATTCAGCCAGGCTTGTATCGAAATGCCGCAGGTTGCCTGGAAAACAGACCTTTTTGCTCTGCTGGAAGTGTAGTTGAGAGCAGGAGAGTCTTGCATTTGAACCACTCGGTCCTCAAGAGGAAATCTGAAAGCTAAAAACGTGCAAGGGAAATGTTGGAGATGGCTGGGAAGGAAATCAGTAAATGAGGAAGGAAGTCAGAAAGAAAGAACTGATTGCAAGGTGATTTGAAGGAGTGTTTGATGTTGAACTACAACATAAGGGCCAAAGTGAGGACCAGATTTTGACTCCTTACTGCAAAGAGTTGGAAGCCTTGCATAGATTACAGAAAATGGTTGCTTAGATTGCAGGAGAAAAGGTTGGAAGCCTTTACTAGATTACAGAATTCAGTCTTTGACATGTCAACATCCCTTCATTACTTTATTTTTATTTTCTGTTTTTGCAAGCTCAGATTAATGTTGATATCAGTACAGGGGTTAAGCTGCTGTTCCAGTGACAGACTTTGAAATCACACAGGCTGGCTGCCTCTTGTCACCCTCTGGGTATATCTATTTTATATTCAATATTTCACAACATAGTTGTGTTTAGAGGTATCAAGGGTCATTTACTACACTAGGTAGCTAAGCTATCAAAGCTGTGTTTTCTGCAAGCATAACCCTCTGCTTGGCCTAATTAGTCTTGCTGCAGTGATTATGAAGCATGGCTACTTAAAGCAATGCAGCTCTTGGTGTCTTTGGGCTAATTATGTGGAGTAACCATGTCCTGTATTGGTATGTAACTCCTAGAAAAAGAAGGACATGGTTTTTATTGGCACAGTTAAACAACTTTACAAGCAGAAAGTCACCTTTTTCTGCCCATATGACTTAATCCCAGACAGCAGGATAGTAAGCCTTGCCAAGTGGATTTCTCCACAGCCACATTTATGTGTATGGTTATCTTCAGATGCAGAAACTGCCATCTCTTCTGATGGAGGCAGAACTTAGTGCCTATAATTGGATAAAAACCCACCACACCAATCAACTCACTTGAGAAATGTGCACACCTTCAGAGTGGAGAATGCAAAGCATTGTCAGTAATCCACCCTCAGCATCCCTTCAGTAAGATTATCATGCCAGAGTCTGCATAATAAACAATATAATTTTTAGCAAAAATCATGTCAGAAAAGATTCAGGTGTGCTTGGATTTACACTTTAGGGGACAGGCAATTC